CTTCTTCCCGAGCTCCTCCTCTTCCGCCAACCTCACCGGTACGATGACTGTCGTACGTACTTCTGGCAGTCACAGTTTTCATACCGCCATATTGCTCTCTGCATGTTAGAATGCATGGAGTTATACCTTTCCCCGGGAGGGTTGTTTGCAAGTAAATCGCTCTCCCCCTACTTTCCCCCTTCCATCCTCCTGCTCCATGGCGATGGTGGTGCTGGTGGTGGTGCTGCTGGCGATGGTGGTGGTGGTGCTGGTGGTGGTGGTGGTGGTGGTTGGCAACCCCTTTGCACTGTCCGTCCACCCCCTACCAGGCGCTGGCCCAGTGCGACGCGTACCTGCGGCGGATGTCCGTGGTGAAGGAGGCGGTGGATGACACGGCGGGTGCGGCCCAGATTGTGGCGCGGCAGGGCCTGCAGGTGATCGATCACTGTATCCTGGAAGTAAAAAGAAAACCAGCGATACTGCTGGGGGGAGGAGGGGGTCCTGAGGACCCTAGCTGAGTAGAGTGCGGTAGATCTGGGGCGGAATGACGATGTCTGTATGCCGGCGGGGGCGGGAGGGAGGGAAAGAGGTTGCCGGCTGCTGCACTCCACTGGAAGGGGAGGGGGGGAAGGGGAGGGGGAAAGACGAACCACAAACGACGAGTGAAGCTGCTGCCAAGGAAAGGGGAAGCCATCGTCATCGTTTTCGCCATCGGTGCTGTTGATGTGTTTTGTGCCCCTCATATGAACGTGTGCCCCACTCCTCGCTCTTCCCCTCGTCCTCTCCCCTTCCCCCCTCTTCTTTTCCACCTAACCCCCCCTTCCACCCTGCTGCTGGTTAGTTATGCCTTCTTTTACTTCTGGCGCATCAGTCTTTTCTTGGCATCACCTTCACTAGCTCGTGGTGCGACTTCCCCCACTTGCTGCCGCTGCTGCTGCTGCTGATGATGATGATGATCCACTTGCTCAGGGTGTTGGGGCTATTTGCTCTCGACGAGCTGCTGAGCTGTACGGCCTGGATGTGCTTGAGGAGGGCATTCAGGACGTGAAAGACAACGTGACGAGGTTCATCGTGCTGTCCAGGTGGGTGCCGTACAAGGGAAAGTACGACACATGGGGGGGTTGGGTGCTATGGTGGTTGTGGTGAGCGTGTGTGTCTGCGTTATGCTACAGTTAATTAACTAATTCTGGCTTTTCGTGCGATATTGCAAGTTCCTTTTAAGAGCAAGAAGAAAGAGAAAACTACAAATTTATATGAAGATATGGGAATGCTAGTCCTCAGGAGCATTATCCTGATTACAATATTAAAGTAAAATCTTTTTGTTATTATATCATCAAGTGACACAATTTAGGGGGTAAAATTTTACCTCCTAAGGGAAGGTTTAGGAAAGCAAAGGCAAGGCGATGGACCTTCATGTTGGCGTGTGTGTACGACACCCCTAGGAGTCTTCCTGGGGTATGTAATAACCGAAATGCCAGTCGATGGCGGTGAATAAATGAGTCTGTGTGTGTGTGAGGGCATGTGTTGCGACCCAGCGCCTCCTCCCTTCCTCAAACTCACCCATACGGCCCGGGAGGCACTTGTCGTGCTGTGCTGGTGCTGGTGCTGGTGGTATCATGTTCCTACCTGTCTAGTGCTGCTAACGCTCGCGACCGTCTCACCGTGCTTGTGGTGCTTCCCCTGATGTGTGTATGTATGTATGTGTGTTTGTACGGCTGGTCCTGACAACCCAACACATTTAACATTCAACGAAACATTCGTCTCTCACTCCACCAGCGCACTGACACACACACGCACACACCCATCCACCTTCTCCTCCCCTACACCTACATACATACGTACGTACGTACATACATACATACCCCGACCGAACCTACTTTCCTTCCCTCCCTCCTCCCTCCCCAGGGACCCCCTCGTAACGAGCGAAAGCGACACTCGCAGCTACAAGACATCCATCGTGTTCTCCTTGCAGCCGGGACCCGGCCAACTGTTCAAGGCGCTGTCGGTGTTTGCGTTGCGAGACATCGACCTTGCTAAGGTAGGCCCAGTATGACCGGTACGAACAGTACGATTTAATGAAAAAACACGTGTTAATATACTCGGGGCCACACAAGGGCCAAGGATGGGGACAGTCTGTCAGTGTGTGTGTGTGTGTGTGTGTGTGTGTGTGTGTGTGTGTGTGTGTGTGTGTGTGTGTGTGTGTGTGTGGATTGGGAGTTGGTTGGGGGGCGCCCCCAAGTACCTGGAGCTCTTTGGGGTCGGATGCTGTCCATTGTGGCCTTTCCGCCTACTAGACAGTTGCAACAACTGCTTTGCTCGCAATTACCTCCCCCCCGCCCCGTTAATTGGCGCCTAACTGCGTTACCGTTACCGTTTGTTTCTAACAGAGAAGAACAAACAAAATAAAGAAAACCACTAACTAACTAACCAACCAACCCGTACACCAATCGAATCTTGCAGGTGGAGTCTCGGCCCATGCGAACAAACCCCATCGTGCAGATCCCGTCACAGGTACATCATCATCATCATCATCTGTGTGACCGATTGTTTGATGTTTGGGCTTTGGCGGATACCCCCGCATTCGTGAGGAACCTGTAACTTGTTTAATCTTATATACGTAATTGTATGTATGTATGTATGTATGTGTGTATTTGGGGAATGACGTACAGGTTGTGGAAGGAGCTTTGGGGGGGTCTGTCACCCTGGGGCCTGTCGTACTCTCTTTGCGGCCGGCGGGGTTGCGGGCATTGCGGGGTTGTGTGGGCGGGGTCGGGGGCGGGGGGGCCGAGGGGGAGGTTAGGACGATTCCTAAGTTGAGAGTTTCGGAGCGGCAAACCCCCCAAGGGTTGATAGACACCCCATTCAGACGAATGGCTCCAGAACCCCTAGTCCTTGTCGTACCTGCATATGCTGCATGCTGTTCGCTCTCCTGCTTGTTGTCCCTCCTCGTGCCCTAATCCCCCTTCCTCCTCCTATCTCCTCTGCCTGTCTGTCTGTCACATGTCTGTATGTGTCCGTACATGCCGTACTAATTGTTCGTTTATTTCTTTTATTTATTTATTTTGCCCTCAGGATGGCACCACTGTGACCCGCCAGAATTTCAATTATCTGTTCTACGTGGACTTTGTGGGCAGTCTGATGGAGGTCCGCTGCCAGAACGCATTGCGGCATCTGCAGGTACGGATGAAGGGGTTATGTGTGTGTGCGCGTAAAGACTGGATGTGCAGGCTTGGCTGCGTCTGTCATGCGGATATTTGTAACAATGTATATATATAGATGTCTGTATATATGTATGTCTAGATGTAAATACGATATATGCGAATATGTACCGATTTCTATTAGCTCATAGCTGATGTAAAAAAGCGTGTGCAACGGTCTCAGTACAACGAGGTCCAGTGTCTACTAGTGGTGGTGGTAGTGGTGATGGTGAAATTCATTTTTAGGAGAAGAAAGCGGCTGTGGTGAGTGGCCGCCGTGGGTGGGGGTGTGCGGGGCACCCGTAAGCCTCCGCAGCTCGATGTGCTCAGAGCAGGTTTAGGTATCTGCGGCCGGGAATGCGGCATCATGACAGGGCCGGCGATGTGTATACATACCATGTATATGTGTGTATTTGAGAATTGGGAGGGATTTCTTTCTTTCGAGTCCCTGTGCGTCCGCTGCCGCCTCTAGAGAGGAGAAAGGAAGGAGGAACCCTTCTCAGAAGAGGAAATATACATATATATGTGTGTACATGTGTATATACACATGTACACACATATATGTGTGTGTTCATGTGTGTGCGTATGTCTGTATGTGTGCATGTGTATGTGTGTGTGTGTGTTACACCTCGGTTGCGGTACCCAGATAGAGGTGTGATGACCCTGAGTGCCCGTACACGAGCGCCGTAACAGCAGAGGCCCTATGGGGACTTCCCTGGAGCTTGGAGCTCTGCACAAGCCAGGTATAAAAGTCATGATACATAAAGTAACGCAAACAGTTCTCAAAAAACAGTTCTCAAAAAAGATATGAACCCTAAACCCCCGCTAACGGCCCGCTACCCCTCCCCCCCATCCGGATGCTCCTCGCGCCATCAACAGGAGACGGCACCATTTCTGCGCGTGTTGGGCTCCTACCCGATGGACATGGAGCTTGGGTCTATGAGCAATGACGACCCCGCCATGATGCAGAACATGTCCCGTTACAACTAATGCAAGAACTGAAACACAGGACCCCACACGCGTGTGTGGTGTGCCTGGTCGCGTTGCGGTGGCGTGGTGGTGGCGAACAGCGTAGTTGTGTTCGGTCGGCGTATAGGGCAACGCGTGGCGTGGCGCGCACGCCCCGCCGTTCTAATAACAATAATAGCAATAATGATGATGATGATGATGATGATGATGATGATGATGATGATGATGATGGAGCCCAGATACAATGACATTATAACGATATACTACCA